TTCAAGACACACTGATACCCATTGCCCCTGGTGTGTGTGTGTGTGTGTGTGTGTGTGTGTGTGTCTGTGTGTGTGTGTGTGTGTGTGTGTGTCTGTGTCTCTCTATGTGTGTACCTATATAGAAGCACGGGAGACCAGAGGTTGGCATCTGGATGTCTTCCTCAATAACTTCATTTCATTTTTTGAGACAGAGTCTTTCAGTGAACCCTTTTTGGTTTAAACTGCCTGGCCAGCAAGTTCCTGGGATCCGTCTCTGTCCTGGTCTCTGCTCTCTACCTAGTTCTGGGGTCGTAGATCCATGCCTCCAAGGCTGGCTTTTACATGGGTGCTGGGGTCCTGAACTCGGGTCCTATTGAGCCATCTCTCCAGCCTCAAACAACACTTGTTAATTCTCCTTTCACAGGCAGGATACACAGAGCCACACTGTTGTGGGGTATCTGTACACTGTGAAGACGTGTTGCTGTGATGGTGTAATAAAAAGCTGAATGGCCAATAGCTAGGCAGGACTTCTGGGAAGAGAGAGGATGCAGGGAAGAAGAAAGGGGGAGTCGCCAGCCAGATGCAGAGGAAGCAGGGCATGCCGGAGAAGAGGTAAAAGCCAGGAGCCTTGTGGCAGCACATAGATGAATAGAAATGGGTTAATTTAAGTTATAGGAGCTAGTTAGAAACAAGCCTAAGCTAAGACCAAGCTTTCATTTAATTCAATTAATAAAGTTGCTGTGTCGTCGTTTGGGAGCTGGCTGGTGGGACAGAGCAAGACTCATTACACTACTGTACACACACGTTAGCCTTGATGACCTCTGCACCACTGAATCCTCGGGGACATGGTGAGTGGTGAGGTAACGAGCTCTTCCTTCCTTGATCACATCCATCCCACGGAAAGATGATCTCTTTCAAGTCCTGGGGAGTCCGCGCTGTTCCCCTTTTGCAACAAAATCACATTTAAGGCTAAGAGCACCATGGTAATGGGCACTTCACAAACGTTCTGTACACTTAAAAGGGGACTAGGTAGCCCAGACTAGCAACAGGGAGGCAATTGAAGGATAATTGCCAGTTAAAGGTGCATATTTGTTTCCTCTTCTTCCAAATCCCCACTGGAAGGGTTCCACATGTATAGAGAGACACAAAGAAGACAGCAGAGGAAACGGCATGTGAAGAAAGAGACCAGTGTCATTTTAGAAGCTGGTGATGGGAGAGGATAAGCCTGGTTGGGTGTGGGGACACTTGTCCAGAGTTCTCCGAATTTGGGTGTCGAGCTGGAGCCTTGCCCATGAGTCTGAGACCATCTTAGGTGTTATGGATTGAACACAAAATGCCCTCCATGGGCACCTATGTTGAACCTTTGTTCCCTGCCTATTGATGCTACTTTGGGAGTTGGTAGCAACATCAAAGGCTTAGCTGGAAGAAGTAGGTCATAGGGGTCATGCCTTTGAAACTGCACCCAAAACTGCAGAGTCCACGTCCATTTCCTTGCCTTTCTGTCAGTGGTTATCTTTCGTTTGAAGCCCAGTCTCACTTTATAGCCTGGGATATTGTCTGACTTTTCTCATCACCGTAGTGGGATACCTGACATAACCAACTGAGAGGGATTGTTTATCTTGGTTCACAGTTTCAGAGCTCTCAGTCCAGAGACCCGGGCTTCACACACCCTGGGCCTGTGATGGAGCCATACTGCCCTGTCAGCAAAAGCCTGTGGCAGAGGCTGCCATGGTGGCTGGGAAGCAGAGAGCAGAGAAAGGATTGGGGACAGTTTTCAGCACATGCAGAAGGAGGCATGCATCGATTAGAGATGTCGTCAACTACAAATAATGCAACGGAGCAAGCAGAGGCTTCAGTATGCACTGCTTGGGCTGCAGTAGAACATGATTTACGACATTAGTTCAGGTATGCACAAGATTGTCTTTCTACTCAGAAGTTCTTACCTTACATGTGGGTCTTGACCTCTTTAGGTTTTCATATCAGATCTCCTGTATATCAGATATTTACATTATGATTCATAACAGTAGAAAAATTACAGTTATGAAGTAGCAATGGAATAATTTTGTGGTTGGGGGTCTCCACAACATGAGGAACTGTATTAAAAGGACACAGCATCAGGAAGGTTGATTTACCGACTTTTGTTTTTCTTATGGTCACAAGTGGATCTCTGTACCATAAATTGCATCTGCATTGAAGAAGCAATAAGTGAAAGGGAAGCCTGTGGAGTCTCTCTCTCTCTCTCTCTCTCTCTCTCTCTCTCTCTCTCTCTCTCTCTCTCTCTCTCTCTCTCTCTCTCTCTCTCTCTCTCTCTCTCTCTTTTGAGGCAGGCTCTCATGTACTCTAAGCCAGCTACAAACTCGCTATTTAGTCAAACATGTTCTTGACCTTCCAATCCTTCTGTCTCCCCCTCTTAAGAATTGGAATTTCACCGGGGGGTGGTGGCACACACCTTTAATCCCAGCACTCGGGAGGCAGAGGCAGGCAGATCTTTGTGAGTTCGAGGCCAGCCTGGTCTACAGAGCAAGATCCAGGAATGGTGCAAAGCTACACAGAGAAACCCTGTCTCGGAAAAAAACCAAAAAAAAAAAAAAATGGAATTTCAAGCATGCACTACTGTGTCCAATGTATGCTGTGATAGAGATCAAACCCACTCCCAAGCATGCTAGGCAAGAGCTCTTCTGAGTTCTGCCCCCAGCTCACTCATTGTATCCTTACTGGGAAAATAAGCATGTATCTAGGTGTCTCCAGCAGACTTTGCTTACACCTCAGGGAACAGAAGTAGTCATGCGATCTCTTGTGACTGCAACAGTTGGTACCATACTTAAGACTGAGCACCCAACTCTCTTGAAGATAACCAATGTTCAGTTAACATGAAATAAGGCAGCAGTTTATGGGTAGGTAATGACAGTTGTGGCCACAGAGACCCACAGAAGGTAAGAAAGGCATAAGTTACGGAGGAAGGTAGGGTGCAGAGGTGAGCAGGCTGAAATCTCTTGCAATTGTGAGTGTGTGTGTGTGTGTGTGTGTGTGTTTGCATGTTTGTGGCGTATGTGGGCATTGTTAACATGTATGTGCAGGCCAGAGGACAACCTTGTGTGTCTTCCTTATGTGCTGTCTATTCTCTCTCTCTCTCTCTCTCTCTCTCTCTCTCTCTCTCTCTCTCTCTCTCACACACACACACACACACACACACACACACACACACACAC